ATAAAAATGACAAAGAAGAATGACTTTATATCCTTCTACACAAATAATAAGTAAATCAGAGATGGGCTAATCGAAATGGAATTTTCGAAGACATTGAGGCAACACCATATTTCTGTCCACTTGTTCACGAGAACTCACTTAATGAGCGTTTCACGTAGCATTTAATAAAACACTATTAAAAATCAATTTTGATTTTAAATGTTAATGCTCTTTAAACTAAATAAATATTTTAAAAATGATAAAAATCTTTTTTTATATGGTTAAGTATACGGGTTAGTCTAGATTTCATTTTGTTGGCGTACAAAGTATTTACTTATAATTTTATTAATGTTTTACATAAAGATGATCTGCGAAAGTAGGTATAATCGACCTAACATCATAGTTCAGTACTTATAGTTATGGTTTGCTCATTCAAATTGGCTTGGAGATTCTTTCATCCTCCATATAATGGACCCATGAAGGGGAATCACCTAAGAATTTGCAAAAATCAACCTTGCTTTAATTTGTCTATATGAAACACCATAATTTGTGCTTTTTTTAGAAATTTTCAATAGGATAGAATGTATGAGTATACAAATTCATATTAGCACTTCCACTCAGCCTAGCTAATTGAAATTCATTAGAATAATATTTAAGGTGCATTTTTGTCATTTGTATCCCGGATGCCAGTTTTTATGTGGAACCAAACGATTAAAAATTCATCTAATACCATTTCTAATCATATTTTTATAGAATATTACTTCCTTTTTTGCAGTTATTTGTAATTAATTTTGAAACTCGCGAATATTCAAGATAATCTAGGGCAATATTCAACAGAGGGGACTATAGTTATGATTGACCAATATTAAAAATCCACAAATCCACATTTTTACATAAAAAATTTTGGATGCAATCTGATCCTGCATATCAACAAAGAATATCTCAGCTTTGCTAAATAAGTCCATACGATATGGTTGTAATTAATTTGTTTTAGCATCGAATACAATTTTCAACATCGCGATTGTGCAAGAGCACACGAACAGGAAAGATTTATTGTTATAAAATGAAAACATATTTGCTCAGAAATGGTCTACATATTTTCTCAAAATCCACAACTTCTGAGACAGCTAGTAATCTATCCTGAAAAGCAGTAAACTTTTTGTCAAAAGGTTGACTCACTCGAAACTCATTTTCGAGTCGGCCTAGCCGTCTCAGTTCACAGCTCAGCTCAAACGCCGTCAGGATAGGGTCTTTGCTGGAGAGCGCGATCAGTGAGGGACTCGAGAGAGCCCGATAGGCGTTGATTCGTAGTTTTGAATGCTGCAGGCTGTCCTCACGACTGGCCTGTACGCAAAGATTGCAGGCACATTGTAGATCGTGTGGACGGGCGATACGGTCCCCTCGGTCCAGAAGTAGCTTGATGATGGCATAGTTGTCTCGATGCGCCGCCAGGATGATTGGTGTGATGTCAGGAGTGAAAGTGGAGGATATTGTACGTCCCAGCAGGCCCTGAGACCAAATTCAGAGAGGGGACGATGGTGGCAAAAGGCTTATAGAGCTTGTCTGTACATATAAGTCTCCAGTTTTGACTAATAAACCTAAAGTATATCCCAGTGCACAATCAAATTATAATTAATTACACATTTCAAATTGATCACTTCATCAAAATTCGCTTAAGATATCAACTTAATTAAATTCGAAGGTATAAAGACCAAAATGGTGTGGCCTTTTGTGTGGTCGCAGTCTCCTTTCGTTGAATAGAAGTT